AGAATTAGTACTCTAATTTTGTATTATGAGGGGAAAGTAAACAATTACAAGGAATAAACTGGGTACAAGGAGATTTGCTATACTTTTCACTTTATTTTGGAACATGTTAAAAATTTCCATAAAAGTCAATCCCAAAACTAATGAACACAAAATAACAGATAATTCTAAAACTTATCCTGACTATATATAGAGTTGGAAATTAAGTGATTATTCAATATGTTACACCACAATTAAGGCATTGCATTAAAAAAAAATCAATGAATTTTACTACTTCCTCTACCACGTTTTTCTGCAAACAAGTCTTTATTTTACTCTAATATTTGAATCATTGAGTGAATGCATGTGGAAACACTTACCCAATACTCATTGTATCCTTTAAGTACATTTATGTGACACTTAATCTCACTCTTCACAACAATCATGATAGGTAGTTTATATTCTTACCTTCATTTTACACATACGAAGATGGAGGGGAAAAAAGGTGAAGGAACTTCCTCATAGTTTCAAATGTTAAAAATGAAATCTAAAGCTTGAGAATTTTCCATTATTGCATTGTGGGAGCTGAAGTTTCAAACTCTGTCTTCAATGACAATACTACACTCTGCTCTCTTGTTAGGATTTTTACTTTTCTGTACATTTCAATCTTTAGCTAGTTTCTATCACCAAGAAGAAAACTATGAAAATTAGGTATGAGGATAATAAATTATATAAAAACATATTTTCTCCATGGTGTACACTCTCCAGATAAACTTAACAATAAACAAATTTCAAAACTTCCTTGTACAGAAAACTTTTCTTAGCCCCTTCACTGCTCTCACATTATTTATCAAGATATCCTGTGACATCAGCCACCATTAAGAATGCTTTCACTTATTCTTTCACTTAACATTCTCTTCTTCAATCTTTTTTTCCTTTTTTGGTAGGACTGGGTTTTGAACTCAGGACTTCATGCTTGCAAAGCAGGTGCTCTACGACTTGAGCCACTCCTCCAATTCATTTTGCTCTGGTTATTTTGGAAATGGGAATCTCTCAAACTATTTGCCAGGGCTGGCCTCAAACAACTATCCTCCCAATCTCAGTCTCCCACATAGCTAGGATTTCAGGTATGAGCCACCAGTGCCTGGTTCTTCTTCAATCTTTACAACCCAAATTATACACTATTAGAGATAGAATATACTTTTCCTCTTTGCCACATGGGCAAGCCAACTTTGCAGGCTCATGCTGAAAACATGTTTTTCTGTACCCATTCCAAACGAGGTAACTGTTAATGGAGTAATGGAACATACCTGCCATAATCAAGTAAGTTGCCACGATGTTGTGTTCAGTCTGTGAAAAGACGGAGCCATCCTCATTTCTAGAGCTTGACCTGTTACCTAGATTATTCCTTAGCATTTTTCAGGGAAGACAGACAATCTTCATAATAAGCCTTCAATCACTGTGAACTGCTTTAATCACCAGCTAGGAAAGCTTTTTCAGAACCAATCATTTTGGCTCACAGATCTCAAAGAAGGGCCTTTTCATAGAGGCCCTCCCTTAACAAATTTAACTGGGCTAAAGAGGAAAGGACTTTAATTCCCAGAATAAGGGAAAGCTTATTAGCAAAACAAAGAGACAAATACCAATTACCAACATTTTAACCAATTTGGACACCAGGCTTATATTGAAGCAGATTACCAAGCATACACATCCTATTTAAATAATAAACTCAGAAAAACAGTGCAGGAGTTGACTTAATTGGGTTCTGCCTGAAATTAAAAACTAGCCTTGTCTCCTACAACTACTCAGATTAAGGACCCTGTTTTCTATTGACTGTTTGAGTTTTTCCATTTCAGTTCCCTGTTTTTAACAGTTTAAGTAATTAGAGATGAAGAGTAATCTTCCCCCATATTGCCAAATCTCACTCCCCTAAAAGTATCGACATTGTTTGGTGCACGTCCTTTCTTACTTTCTTTGCTTATACAAACATCTATTCATACAAATTTACACACACTGTCATATATATGAGTTTGAGGTTTCTCCCACCTTTTTTCCCTTTGAAACAAAACATATATATATATATATATATATATACATATATATATATATATACACATATATATTCAGAGAGAAAGATATACATGTATAACCATTGTGTATGTATAAGCATTATGCAACCTGTTTTCTCTTAAATACCATACCACTTGAGCCACTCCTCCAGCCCTGCTACACTTTTCATAGTATGGATATACCATGATCTATTCTACCATCTACCTCAGCTAACCTAACCCTACACTTTGATATGCATGAGTAATTAATATTATCTGGTTATAGTAAAAATATCAGCAAAGTATCTGAAGTCAGTCAGTCATGAATTCATCTTGTGAAATACAGGTCAATTCTAATATTATGATTGTTATAACCTAAAAAGTTGGTTATAATCCAATATGAATATGGATTGTCACAATGACAATGTATCCCTACTACCTTTTTAGCTAAATTCTTTATACCATGCAACATTGTTAAAGTATATTTCTTCTCAATAGTAAATTTCTTAGTAAAACTTCAGAGTAATGCCTAGATGCAGCAAAATTAACAGTGTAAGCATACAGCAGAACCACTAGAGGGCTGTATCTGGCCACTTACTTTAATTTCATAACTAAAATTAAAGCATAGGAGGCAAGAAAATCCTTTGCCTCAGTTCTCTCGCCTGAATATAAACTCAAAGGAACAGGATGATTATCTGTTCCCAAATCTTATAGCTATCAGTACTCAAAATGTTTAAAACATGAAGTAATAAAGAGAAATGTATATTAGGCAAATCAATCTTACCACTATTCCAAAGTATCAAAACATTCTCAACTAAGCCTAAAGCAATAAAACACCTAAGAGGAATCGCTCTATTAAAAGCCTGTGTGGTGTGTGTGTGTGTGTGACCTGTGAAACAAGGCACGGTGGTGCAAGCCTATAATCCTAGCACTCAGGAGACTGAGGTAGGAGAATTGCAAAGTTCTAGGCCAACCTGGGCTGTGCATATCAATATCTTGTCTTTAAAAAAAAAAAAAAAGCCTATAGGTTGTTGGGTTTGTCTTTTTTGCTTTTTTTCCTTAGTATGTAAACCTTAAATTTTTAATTTGCTTTATATTCCTTCTCTTGTAAAACTACACTTACAACTCAAAAATTTTCAGAAATAATTATTTCTGCTTACAAGAATTGAAGACAATTCCAAAGATGGTCAGCAGTTTGCTGTATGATACCAATGGGGTAGGTGCTCTCAAAACTTTCTTGTGCGTCCTTCATGAGTTACAGAGAAGCTATCTTGGGATGGGATGTAGCTTAGGAATATTAAGAAGGAAGCATACTGTGCTTACACAGCTCACATCTTTTGAATTTCATATTCTTCCTAAAGAGCCCTATAATCAATCCTCCTGTCATATTTTTCACAAACACAGGAAATATTAATGGTTGTGTTCCATTAAACTGTTTTGTTACTATAGCAACAGTGCATTTTAACACCATGAAAGCAGTTAGAATGTTTAGTTATCAACTCAGGAAATGAAGGTGAGTTGATGGAATTCAATGATCATTACCACTATCAAATTCATTCATGTAAGGCTCATAAAAATGCAAACCTGATTCAAGATGAAATGCTCCAAAGGGAACCCAGAAAGAGTAGTACTGTAAAACAGAAAAGGGAAAAATAAGATCCAGATTAATAAGCTTAAAGATGGCCAATGGCCAAAATATATACCTGAGGTAAAGGGTGAGATCTCCAAGTAGCTCATCTATTTTACTTTATATATATAGTTAGCATTAGATTTTAATACATATGTCTGTATGTTGTTAGTGTTAGATTTTAACACTAACAACCACAAAAAAAAAGGTCTACACATGGTGGTGCGTGCTTATAACTCCAGATATGGGAGGACTGCAGTTTGAGGCCAGCCCAGGCAAGAAAAGGTTAAGTTCCCACACCAAACAACAAGCCAGGTGTGATGTTACATTCCTATAATCCCAGCTATGCAGGAAAGTGGAGGTAAGAGGATCACTGTATGTGGAAAGAGGTCAAATTCCTATCTGAAAAATAAAACTAAAAAGCACTGAGGACATGGCTCAAGTGAAAGGTCCCAAGTTCAAACCTTATCACTGCCACAAAAAAAAACAAAAAAACAAAGACCAAGAGTTAATCACTTATGCTAGACATTTCCTTCTGAGAAGTAACAAATGAGGGAGGAAAAAAATCAATGGCACATGGTAAGTGATTCCATATTGAGGTATTCTAATTTGCTATCATGGCTATTTCTTCATGCTAAATGAGCAATGGAGACTAAAACCAATCTTATTTGTGACACCCTGCCCAGGAACCTGGCATGTGCTAGGCAATTAAGTACTTACTTATGGTGAATAACATCTCGAACCTTCTGAAATCTTTTTTTTAAAAAAGGAAAAGTAAACTAAGAACATTCAGTAAAACTTCAATAACCTGTCCATGCTGGATGAGAAAAGTTAAATGATTCTTCAGAAATGTCTTGGGCTAGTGGAGTGGCTCAAGTGGTAGAGTGCCTGCCTATCAAGTATGAAGATTTGAGTTCAAATCCCAGTACCACCAAAAACAAGCAAACAGAAGTTTCTTGAATTATAGTTCTCATTTAACAGAGCTACCTAAATTTTACATCATAAGAAAAGTTTAGAATTATTAATTGTAATTAGAGAAATCACTTTACTCTAGGTAGTAAAACACAAAAGGGAAATACAACAAAGTATGCTAATGTTCTCACACACAAAAGGCAAACATTTTGAAAGGGGTGTTAATTTTCAAATGATCTTAAAGTACTCTCCAGTGGTCTGATGTTTAGCATACCATAGCACATATAAACAAATCCTTTTTTTTTTGTTTTCTTGTTTTATTTTCCATCTGCAATGCACTGGGTTTAACCTTTAGTTGTTCCTTCAATTAAATTTAAAAAGGAAAAAAAAAACCAAAAACAGGTTTGGCTCAATAAACACACACTCTGAATAACTTAAAAGGAATAAAATGTTTTATTTAAGAAATTCAAACATGCTTCAAATGAAAATTACTGTCCCTTATTAAGCACCCACAGAGTGCCAGGCACTGTACAAAACATCAAAGACTTGTTCATGCTCTTTCAGAGCAAAATTGACTCTTCCACTGCACTTGTTTTTGCATGATGCTGACATTTCAGTTCCACTGCCATGGAATGACCACATCTTCAAGTCTGCTCAAGACATGGGTGTCCAATCCACAGCAGAAGCAGATCATGCAGTTAACACAGAAGTCAACTGGTGAAGTCTGTCACATCTTTCACCTAATGGCCTCTCCCTGCTCAAAAGAAAGTCAAAGTGAGAAGAGTACAGGATTTCTAACAGTACTATTACCCAAATCTCAAGTTTAAAACCACCAGCAGTTCTTACTGCTGTTTAGTAAATTTACCTTACAAATTGAACTGTAAGTCACACCACACATTTATTTTTCACATTAATATTACAGCAAAGTAAGTCAGAAGTGGGTGAGAAATTAAAAGGGAAAACCAAGGGTGCAGGAGGGTAAATATGGTGCAAGTACTGTATACACATGTAGGTACATGGAAAAATGAGACCTGTTGATGAGAATGATGGAAGGGGTGAATTCAACTATGATATATTGTAAAAACTTTTGTAAATGTCACAAGATTCCTCCAGCACAACAATTAAAAAGAGAGAGAGAGCCAAAAAAAAGTGATATATAAAATAAAGCCACAAATTAGGCTAAATAAAGAATGTCAGTGTTCTATATACTTGCAGGGGAAATGAGCATACACAGAAACTGACAGACAATAGCAATAAAAATTCACTCAAAGACATTGTTCACTCACCTCGGAAACCGCCACCCCCTCTTCCTCCTCTGAAGCCCCCACCTCCACCTCCTCTTCCACCTCTAAAACCACCTAAAAAGGAAATATATTAAATACTTGTGGCCTCTCACATTCTGATAAGATTATAAAAATAATACAATTCCTATAATCATAAAAAAAGTCACCTGTTTTATCTTACAGAAATTTTTAAAAGATAAAAATGGAGAAATTATACCAGATTCCCAGTGTGCAGTGAGGTAAAAATCCCAGATTACCACCTTTTAAACAAGTATTTTCACTTTAATGAATTAGAAAAGCTTGTTACTTTAAAGTATGAGTTAGCCTTATTATTAAATGTATGATTACCTAGCTTTTGCTTATGTTAAATACTTTTAATTGAACTAAGAATAGTTTGGACTAAGGCTTTTTAATCCTAAAATCAAAAGATGGTTAAGTGCGGGTGCTCTGCAGATACTGTACTGAATGTCATGCTTGAGGTTAAGTGAGTATATATAGACCATATCTGATAAGCCTCGAAATTTAAAGAGATACTCTAGATGTATTATGCTGCTAAGGAAGGGTGCTTGCAAGGTCAGGTATACTACATGGGTTTTCAACTCAAGATAGGCTGATGAGACATAACCCCATCATAAGTCGAGCAGTATCTATGTAATAGTTCCTTGCATGACATCAGAAGACACAGGTTTTAATTCTGAGTCTGCTAGTTGTTGGATTACAGAAAATTAACTTCTGTGAGACTCCCTCATACTTAACTATATTAAAGTGTGACTGAATATTCAAAGAATACATATGGATATTAAAATATATCAAGACTAGCTCTCATCATACAATCAAATTACTCAATGACAGTTAACTGAGAAAGTAAAATTCAGTTAATCTTACACACTCATGTAGCACATACCAAATCAACAAAGGACCACATATGAGACATTGGTTTCATGAAAGTATAATGAGCCAGGTAATTTCCATTTTATCTAGTGATATTGTAGAGCAAGGCATTACTATTTGTGGTAATGCTGATGCAAGCAAACCTATTACACGACCAGGCACTTAAAAGCATGGCACCCACAATCAGGTACAGCACCTAATACTTGATAACGACTACAGACAACTGTTACTGGTTTATGTATGTACTCTACTGTGTGTTGTTACTGTAAAATGTATTCCTTCCCCTTATAAAAAGTCTATTGTAAAACAGCATGCCCTGTTATATCAGCACACTGGTGTAACACATCTCATGTATACTCTCTCAGTCCCATCCAGAACCATGATGACTGACCTGTGCCATGTAGATTTGTGTAAGCTCACTCTATGAGTCACACAACAATGAAACTGCCCATTTCTCAGAATGAATCTGTCATGAAGCAATGAATGGCTGTACATTTTCCCAAGAAAACATGAATAACCCAAGAGTTGAAATACCTCAAAAGAAAATCGTTATTTTCATTCCTTTTTAAGTAAGTTGTTAAAATAAAGCATTTATTACTATGGATACTCTACCAATATCTGAAAACAGCTTTATTAAAAGAAATAAATATAAGAGAAGTTTGCCTACATACAAAATCAAATTGTACTATATGAATTAACTGTGCTTGAAATCTTTCCCCTAAGTGACTTACCACCTCTACCGCCACCTCTGCCACCTCCTCCTCTTCCTCCTCGACCTCCCCTGCCACCGCCTCTTGGAGGTCCTTTCTCACCTGGAGGTCGAGGTAAAAACCTCTGCAGTGGCAGCAGCTTAAATGGGTCTATGTAAAACTGGAAGTTTAATAGAAGCAATTAGTGTGGTTAATTGAGGTGAGTTATAGGTATAGTTTAGGGTATAATCAAAACTGCCTGTGTTCAAATCCTACTCATTCTACTTAGTACCGGACAGCTCTGGACAAGGACTTACTTTTTAGTACCTTGGTTTAGCATCTACCACCACATGCTTACATGAGGATCAAAAAGGTGATGTACACAAAGCATTCAAGATTACATACATATATAAAAAAAGATCAAAGGCAATTCAATCCCATTTTCCTTTAGAATTAGGTCTCCCAAAATCAGATTACATTTTTACTCAATAGAAATGCCATAAGAAAAATGAAGCTACCAGAACTGCAAGCATTAAAATTCAAAATAAAGCAGTGGCATACTAGCTACTTCAAGACAGGATCAAATCAGTATTTCCTGAACACAAGTAGTGAATGACATACAGAAAACAAACCCCTCTATATTTGGGGTAAAGAGGACATTTTCGCAGATAATGAAATGTAAGGAGATGTATTGTTGTTTCCCAAGTCTTCTTACACAACACACAACTAGGGCTTTCAAAACTGTAGTATATTACTTATGATGTCTGTATCACTCCCTGCATGTCACCTTATTACTCTTCTTCACAGCCCATTGCCTTAAAAAGTCATCTGTGCATATATGGTTATTTAAATGTAATGATTAAATGTGAAATTAAAATTAAAATTAAGTTCATGAGTCCTGTGAGCCACATTTTAGGTGCTCAAAGCTACATGTGCCTAACTGCTGTTGTACTGGTCAGGGATTTCCATCTCCACAGAAAGTACAACGGGGCAGCATTGGTCTTCAGCCTTTGTTATAACCTAGGCTGAATAAGGAGGGCCTGAACTTAAACACAGCAGTGGAATACCAGAGGTATGTACCCAACTTATTACCTGTGATAAAAAGCACTAAATAATAAATACTCAAATACTAAATTATACTTCAAGAAAAGGCAGGGATTGGAACCAACTGAAGTGGCTCTAACAGCACTTTTATTCTGGTCACCAGGTGAAAAGCCATTCTCAGCACTATTTCTTTCTAAAATTTTCAGCTCCAGGCATACCTTGTCAGAGTTTCTATAACCAGTGGCAACACGGTATTGTCTCCACTTCATTTTCTATTCCAATCTGGCTTCTGGCACCAGCACTCCACTAGCTTCTTAACCTCCTGACTACTGCTATATCCACTGACGACATTACATCATTCTGCGACAGCCAGCACTCCCTCTTGGAAAGACTTCATTCTCTCTACTACGCATTCCACTTTTATAACATACTTGTGTCTTGCCTTTTTTTTTTTTTGGCAATTATAATTCTCAGCCCTAGTAAAACATTTGAATTTGGCCATCTGACTACCTCACAAGTACCTTAGACTCATTATGTTCAAAACCAAACTCAGTATCTTCCTGTTCTCCAGTGTAGCCCATTTCTGTAAATTCTATCAACAGCCATAAAGATGTTGAAATAAGACATATGTAAGATGGTGATTTTTTAAACTTCCTCAACTTTACATCAGTTACCAAGTTTTACTGATTCTACTTCCTATGTTTCTCATAAACCTGGCCACTGTTTTCATCTCATCTCCTCTGCCCTCATCCAGTATCTCTACGATCATTTCACTGCCTATTTGGACCCTTCACACAGTGCTAACCCTTTTTAAGCATAAATTTAACTCTATTATCCTATTGTTCAAAAACTAAACTAATTCTCATGACCTAAAGCCTTAAGTAATCAGCATCTTTCTACATCTACCAGTCTTAATTCACAACTTTCCTCACCCCTCCTAGACAGTCCATGCCCAAGCTCTATCTATGCCTTTTTTGGATTCTTAAGTTGTTTACTGTCTCAGAGCATTTGTAGTTTTCCCTATATGAGATGCATGGCTGCCTCTTTGACCAGCCCAGTGGTTCCCAGGTGTTTGCCTAACTACATCAAAATTATCTAGAAGATTTTCCTTTTAAATTGAATCCTGGGCCCTACTTAAGAGCAACTGGGTCAAATTCCGAAAAATGGGCCCTAAAAGGACATCTTCTTAAATAACCACCCCACCCCTTAAACTCCCCCACACACCCTTGCAACCAGGTATAAGAATCTTTCCTAGTCAACTTTCAGGTCTCAGCTTCAAGATCACTTCCTCAGGGAAGCCCATGGAGTAAGTGTGCTCCCACTATAAAGATTCTTATAGCAACCTACTTTTTTTCTTCAGAGCATATGTTATGCAAGTGTTCTACCACTGAGCCACATCCCCAGACCCCAAATAATGTTTTATAATGTAACATTTTACTTAGAATGGTTGTTCATGCAAGCTTTTCAACAGGAGAGTTTTTAAAAAGCATCTCTAGCAGTTACAGATTTTCCTTACTTATTTTAAGCAAGGAATACTTTCAAAAACTTTATCAAAAATTATTTTTACTCTTAATGTTTATAATAAACATCTCAGTTGAGCATGGTGTCAAGTCTGTAATCCCAGCTACTCAGGAGACTGGGAGGATAGTGGTTTGAGGCCAGCCCAGGCAAAAAGTTCCTAAGACTCCATTCCCAACCAATGACTAGTCACAGTGGCACCCAGCTGACATCTGGAAAGCACAAATAGGAGGATTTCAGTCCAGGCCAGCTAAGGCATAAGATAGACTCTATATCAAAATTAACCAATGCAAAAAGGAATGGAGTGGTAGAGAGTGTCTGCCTAGAAGCACAGGCCTTGAGTTCAACCTCCAATGCCAAAGAAAAAAAAGAGCATTAAGAGTTTCACTGGAGGAGTCTCAAATGCCATTAAGGCACGCCATTCCATTTTAAAACCAAGGATACTAAGGTATCAAAAGTTCAACTCACCTTCTGTAGTTTTTTAAAGGAAGCTGCCTTCATATTTTCTGACAATTTAACTGAAAAATACTATTAATTATGTTAAGGAACAAATAAGAAATTAAGACAAAAGACAATAAACCTTCTGACCTCACATATAATTTTAAAAACAAGGCTAAACATATGCCCAACATTCACAAGGGCATATATTGGAAAGATAAGAAATGAGTTTCCAAGAGAAAACAAAATTTTCTTCAAAAACCAAAACAAAGACATTCTAACTCTACCATATTATCCCAGTGATACCATCATATCCAAAGCAACCTGTGCATTCCTATGGCACTTATCCAAATGGCCATTTCTAGAACTTTCCAAAAAGAGACATTTCTCTATATGGCTGAATGCATTCTCCCTCTTGATTCACCTTATGATCCAATCTGTAGCAGTGTTGTCTTATTTAATGATGCAAGAAGTTTAATTGGTATCTAACCGCCCCAGGAGAGAGCAGGGACAGTAAATTTTAAATGAGAGTACTAGGTCATCAGATTAGAAAGGATACAAAATCTCTAAGTTGTCCAAATATTTCATCCACCTTTCCGATTTGTTCTTTGTTCTCTAAATAAACAGGAGCATTGAAATAAGGCACCTTATTTTCTTCTGTGGTACATTTACAAACTATGTCATCTTCACAGGGATGCAGGAATTCCCCTAATACTAAAACAGGACAAGAAAATATTAAAAAACAGAACTATTTTAAGTAATATTGACCAACCTCTCTGGAAGCTTCCTTCTTGACTGGAATTTCACAGTTATCTGCTCTCCTCTAAGGCAGAGGAACACAGTCATTAACAGTGTGGGCTTTCTGAGCTGGCATGCCAACTCCACAACACATTAGCTATGGGACCTAGGAGAGGATACTCACCCTGCTTCAATGTCCCCTTTAATATGGGGTTAATAACATATAAGCTATATAGCTACACCTAACACATAATTAAGTGTAATACAAATGTAAAATGCATGTAACACTATCTGGCACACTGAGACCATTCAACCTATGATAGTTACATCATAGCTATTATAATTTTATTGAACACCATGCTTAATTCTCCTGAATTTCCTTTTTCTCCCACTCCTAAATATTAATCAGCCTTCAGTATTGTTTTTCCTCCTTCCTTAGAACCTATTCCCACTACCGCTTCTTTGCTAATGATTCTTAGTCCGTTTTTTCTTTTTAAGTCTGGAATCCTCAAATAACTACCTTCACTTCTAACTATCACCCTAATCTGAAATATTTATCACATGCCTAAAAAAACTAATTCTCCATCTCTGTTACCCCAAGATCAACACCGAGAACCTTTTATTCCCAATATTAGCCAAGTTATCCTTAGTTTCTTTCCTCTGAAAGAGGAAAACTGTGTAACAGTTTGTGGGATAAACCTTTGATTTACCTCCTTGATTATTACTGTAAAACTAGTTAGGTCTTATTCTTGCTCTTTTCTCCTGTAAGTTCTCTTTCAAGCATGTTTTTTTCTCACTTATCTTACTTTTTGGTAATTGAAAGTATGGACTATGAAAACTGAAAAGTTGACTTTGTAGTTCAATTATATCACTAACCACTTATCACTAACCTTATGACTCCAGAAAAGAAATTTAACGATGAATCAGTTTTCTCATCTGTTGAGGGGATTAAGCACTCAACACAGCCTAGTTAATACCACCCTTTTGTTCCAAGCTCAAGTTCCACTTCCATAATGCATTTTCAGATCTCTCTTGATCTCCTCATGTGCAACAGTACGATTACAAATCAGTTTGCACATAAAGTTAATCCTCCGCCCCAAGCAAACTGCAAACACCCTATGAGGACAACTGGATTTATCCTTCAGCACTAACTACTAGTCCAACTTGCTAACAGCACAAACCCACGACCCCACCCCAAGAAGGAGAGGCTCGGAGGGCGACATACAGACTACGCGTTCCGGGGGTCCTTGATCCTGGCCTTTGTTAAACCCTCCGCGGCCGCCCCCTCTTCCAAACCCTCCTCGGCCGCCGCCTCTGAAACTGCCACCGCCTCCACCTCGGAAGTGGTTGTTGCTACCGCCGCCGCGGTTGAAGCCGCCACCTCCACCGCCTCGACTGAAGCCTCCACGACCGCCGCCTCGAAAAGACATGATCTCTCCCACCTGGTGAAAAAAAAGGTCCGCTTCTTCTGATCACTGTGGTCTGAGAACAAATCCAACCCCTCCCAGCGTCGCTCAGACCGCCGTAAGAGGGGACAATAGTGACAACAGCCCTGCCACCTGGCCCACACCACCAGTGATCTCCCCAAGCTTCTGTGGGCGCCGACAGATCGCACGCCAGCTCGCCGCCCCAGAGCTCGTACCTCCCCCCCAGCAGGCAGCGCGGCTTTCACGCTGCATCCCCTCCTTCCCGCAAGGGGCTTTCGCGTCCAGCATTCTTGACTTCACAGTTTCCGTGACCACTCACCGGCGCCACGTGCAGCTCCGATCCCAGCCGTGCGCTCACACCCACCCGCTGGACACTTCCGTCGCACGCGAACCTCGTCGGCCACTGTACCTGAGCAGTTTTCAACACGACCAGAAACTCGAAAAACGGGTTTACATAAACCAACTGTCACTGGCGGACCCAGCAGTACTAACACCTCCCTTCAAGAGTCTTCCGCACAGGGAAAGACAACTTCCCTGTGAGGAAGTTGTCAACTTCCTCAGTGAGAAGAACGGACAGTGAGGTCAACTTCCCGAGTGAGAGTAGCGGACGTGACGTAAAATAACCGCGTCCCATCGAGCTGACGTTTCCGGAAGTATGCCGCAGTGTTGCCCTTGGAGATAGCAGGCGTTAGGGATCCGCCTCCTCTTCTCAGAGGCGAGTTGTGTTTCTTCATGTTTGGGCCGCTGTGGCTCTTGTAGACTCTGAGTACTGGCGGGGCTGTCTTGCTCCTCGAGTAATTGTCCCCAACCTGGCTCATCTATTCCTTGCCAACTCCAGAGTCAGTGGCTACATCTGCGGAGTTCCAAACCGTCTGTCCAGAGCTGCGTCCCGCCGCGTAGGACACGGTCACAGCCAGCGGAAGGTTTGCACGCTTTCCAGTTGTTTCCGGCCCATTTTTTGAACTACACGCCCTTGTGTGCTGAACTGTGCTGTCCTTTTGTCCTATTCGTTTTGTTAAAGAATAAAAGAAAGGTATCTCATAGCCAAACCCCTTTTCATCTTTTGTACCAGGTGGTTTATTCATTCGTCCAGTACGTTTTCACTACAGACAGGATGTACACCTGTTTGTAATAGAAGCTCCTCCCTCTCCCCTCTCCTTAAAACGTTGATATCTGACATCAGCTTCCCCCATGTCCGCTAAAACTCCTCTTATAATAAAGCTACTGACTTCCACTTACTAACTTTGCTTGGCATCTTTTCACCCGAATCCTCTGAGACTTTACCTTGATATTTGACAGTCTACCGCCTCTTCTTGGAAAGAAGGGAAAGGCTGATACCCCTTCCGGAGGGTTATTGTGTTGTAGAAAACGTTACAGAAAGTACGACTGACCAGCGAGATTAAGACTCAAACCCAGGTGGTTGGAGGAAAGAAAGGTTTATTACACTAGCCGGCCAGCAACTGGATATCTCCAAAATGGCGCAGGCCCCAAGCTCAGGGTGGTTGAGGTTTTTATACTGAGAAAAGCAGCAGCAAGCAAGCAGGGAGTGCAGAAGCAGACTTGGCAGTTATCTGTTCAAGGTTACAATATATCATGTCAGCTCAGCGGTGACATGATATTTTCTCCCCATGTTAACTTTTTGTCTCTGATATGAGGAAGGCTGTGGCTGCGAGAGCTCACAAGCAGGGAGGCCATCCCTTTGCTATTGAATCCAACTGTTTGGAGAGATAAGCCCTTGGCTGATGTCATGAGCCTAGGAATTTGGTCAGGACTCCAATTGTTATGTCGTTTCTGTCATGTACGTCGAGGAAGAAAGGCTTTTTACATCTGGGAGTCCCAGAGCAGGGCACTAATGCCCCCTGATGGCACGAAAAGCCTGTTACTTAGATTTTTAGATTCGGGGCTCCCTTTTGTCTCCCCCCTTTGTGGCTTTATATAAAGGCTTTGTTAGTGAGAAATTAGGTATCCAAATTTGGCAGAACCCAGCCATTTTTAAGAACTCACGGATTTGTCTTTTTGAAGTTGGAGTCGGTATTGAATAAACAGCTTGTTTTCTTTTTGTGTCAAGGTTCTGCTGGCCTTGGGAGATGTGAAACCCCAAATACTTGCTTGGTCTTGCAAGATCTGAGCCTTTTTAAAAGATATTTTGTATCCAGCTTTTTATAAGAGATAGAGTGGGAGTTCTGTCCCTTTAAGACAGTCTTGGTGGTTAGTTACTGCAAGGAAGAGGTAAGAGTGTGTAGCCAGCTTTTTTTTTTTTTTTTTTTTTTTTGCTGGATATGCTTGTAAATCTGATGTCAGAGCAGTTCCAAAGATGGTTGGGGAGTTCTTGAAACCCTGTGGGTGATGATTCCAGGTTAACTGTTGTTGTCCGCCTGACTGAGGGGGTCCTCCCATTGGAAAGCAAAGATGGGATGGGTTGGCTCACAGGTGTCAACTGGACGCAGAAGAATGCATCTTTTGAGTCCAAGCATGAGAAGCAGGTTATCTCTGCTGGTATCAGGGCCAGCAAGGTGTATGGGTTAGGATCCACAGGGTGCAGAGCCACTGTTGTTTGACTGACTGCCCGAAAATCCTGCACTGGGTGGTAATCATAGGTGTCTGGCTTCTGAATTGGCAGTAAGGAAGTGTTCCAGGCAGATTGATAAGGTCTCAGGATTCCATATTTTAAAGTCTCTGGAGGTGATGAGATATCTCTTTGATCACCTGACTAACAAAAACAGGCCCATTGTCTGACCCAATGCTGCTAGGTACCCTGAACTGGTACCTGAACTGGTGGTAAAAGTGCAGACCACCACCAGAAGGTACCGATAAGTTTGCTTAGTTGGATTTCAGTGCAGTGTATTTCCAGGTGTTGGAATGGGTAGACTCCTTTTTTCTGGACGAGTAGCGGGGGCTTGGGCCCTGGTCCTGGGTTGTGCTGGGCGCAGTGCAGACAGGTCTTGCTGGCCAACTGAGTTAGAGTTGCCAATTGGGGAATGACCAGGTGTTTTGTAACAGTCCTTGTAGGGAGGTTTTGTCCAAATGAGTGATGTCATGTGCCAGCCTTCCCAGGCCTACAGCTGCCTTTTCTGGTATCAGGATCCTTTCAGGGTGATGAACCAGCCTTTTGAGTTTTCTTTAGCCCCTGTTTTATGGGCTTGTTCTCTTTCTTGTGGGCTCCGGCTTCCATCAGTGAAGAGCTCCAGGTCAGCATTGGAATAGCAGTGTCCACTAAGTCCGGCTGAGAAGAGAAGACATTGTCTAAAACCTCTTCACAGGAGTGGAGAGGTTCTCCCTCCTCTTTTGGTAAATATGTGGCTGGATTGAGAGTCCTCATCGCTTCGACTCTTATCCGGGGGTTTTCACCAATAAAGCCTGATATCTTGCCACTCGTTCCCTGGTCATCCCCGTCTGGCAGTGCCGTTGAGCAGAGAAGTCACTTGGTGGGGACCTGGAGCGTGATGCATTGTCCCAGGGTCAGTTTATCTGTTTCTTGCATTAAGTGGACTGCTGCTGCCAATGCCTGGAGGCATGGGGCCAACCTGAGGCCACAGGGTCTAGCTTCTTGGACAGGTAGGCTACCAGTCAGTTCCATGGCCCCAGTGGTTGGGTCAGGACACCTAAACCTATGCCACCCTTCTTCAAGACTGACTGCTAAGGTTAGCACCAGCAAGGCACTCATGCCAAGTGGTACCAAGTCCATAGATACTATGGTGCCCAGTTTAGAAAGTAAGTCTCTTCCCAGAAGGGGCCTGGAGCCTCTGGTATGTACAGAAATCGGCATCTGACCTGACGTCTACCAACTGTGCCTTCTCGGGGCTTGCAGAACCAGTACTTCTTGATGTTTCCCAGTGGCCCTATAATGGTAATTGAGTCCTTTAGTGAGCCGGCCAGTTGGAGTGGTCACAGTGGAAATGGCTGCCCCAGTGTCCAGAATTAAGTCTGTTTGGTGGTCCTCTACATCATTCTTGACTATGGGCTCCTGAGGGCCGATCAGAAGGGAACCCAGTCTGCCTCAGTCGGACTCGTTTCCCAGGCTGCATTTGTCTCTAGGTTGCAGGCTTCATTGGATGTGGCAGCAGCTACTGTCACATTTTCCTTTTTCCCCTTGTTAGGGCACTCATCTTTTTAATGTCTTTCTTCCTTACAGTATGCGCATTGGTTCCTCCCAAGAGAATTTTTCCATCCTTTCCTGTTGGAGTCCCCTCTCCGGCCTTCTGTCCCTTTGCCTCCCTCCTTGAGGGCCATGGCCAGGATCTTTGCCTTTTTCTCTAAATATTTTTCCTTCTCTCTTTTAGCCATTTCTTCTTGCCACCACCTTGGCTGCTATACTAATGAGCTGGTCAATGTTGGCACCTGCGACGCCCTCCATCTTTTGTAGCCTTCAGCAAACATTAGGGGCAGACTGTTGGATGAAGGCAGTGTTAATCATGAATCAGTTTGCAGTGGTCCCGGGGTCAAATGGTGTACCGACGGTAGGCATCACATAACAGGTCATAGAACTGGCTAGGCAGCTCATCAGACTTCTGTGTGACTTCACTGATCTTGGCGAGGTTGGTTGCCCTTTGGCGGGCTCCCTCCAGGATGGCTTGTCTCATGCGCTGGATGGACTGGAGCCCATCTGGAGTGTTGGGGTCCTGGTCTGGTCTGGTGTCTGGGATTCTCTCATCTGCCTATTGCTCTGGATTTGCAGTGTGCAGTGGTGCTTGTGTGACTAGCCAAGCTCTGGCTGCCTGGTATACTTGTCGGCACTCATCAGAAGTGGAGAAGGTGGACATGAGTGGACAACAATCATCCCAGTTGGGCTGGTGGCTGTGCATGATGTTGGCTAGGAGCTCTACCACCGTTTGTGGCTCCTCTGAGTATGCTGGGGTGTGCTGTCACCAGTTCAGGAGGTAGGTGGTGGTGAATGGCTGATACACATATTGCATGGGTCCAGCTGTGTATGACCCATCTTTCTGGGGTAGTTGCAGCCCAGGAGCCTGATGGAGGGGCATAGGGCTGCTGCTGGGGCCCTTCCTTTCTTACTCATCAGCCTCCCAGAATTTGGTGACCTTCCCCAATGCCTCTCTTCCTTTGGGCCATTGGAGGCAAAGGGGTGTATAAAGAGGAAAGCTGCTGGGTGACATGGTTGGGGGTCTGGGCCCGATGTTTCCTTCTTTCCATTGGGGTCCTCTGCATTAAACTCAGATCTTGGGGAGGCCAGAGTGGCTGAGCGCACTGGAAGGACATATGATGGTGGATCTGATGACTCAGATTCTGAGGTGTAGTGGACCTCAAATTTCTTTTCTTTTACTTTGCCATTAACCAAAATGACTGCATGCCTCTGAGGGGCATGAAAACAGAGCCAGTCAGGTAGGCATGTGGCCAGGATGTACCAGGTGTTGATTTAAGGAAACTGGTCCAGATGTCCTGGACTTTGTCTCTGATGTGGGTGATAATAGCCAAGTCTAGAGTGCCCTCTGATGGCCATCCTGCATCATAGGTGGGCCACTACAATTGACAGAATCTCCGAAGCTTGGCTGGTTTCATTTTAACCCCATAGTCACCAGAAAAGCCTTCCC